TATTGATTTTAATGGAAAAGCAAACTGTAAAATAGTTTTATAAATATGCTAGTCTTTACAGGAAATCCCATTTTGTCTGTGTATAGAGTTTTGCTCATGTGTGGAGAGAGATAGTGTTAATAGTAATTTTCTTCTATTTTCTAAATTTCTGTCATTTGAATGTGCAATAGTAAAGATAGATATACAACCGTAATCAACAGAAAAATAATTATATATGAAAATAAATAGCCACATGAATAAACATATTACCTGTTAGATAAAATACATAATTCTTTTAAACTTGGAGCCATGGAATGTTCTTTATAGTTTTCTCGAGAGAAAAATGTTTTCAGGCCATTTTTGGGGGAAACGTCCCTGTAAAATAAAGTAATTTATTTGCATTTGATTATTCAAAATCTCACACTAGACCAAGAAGCATAATGGCACAACTGTAAAATATGACTACATGCCCTTTGCCCCCTCTTCCCAGACAACCACTTCTTAATGTGTTTAATTTCATGTACCAGATCTGTGAACCTGGATGTTTTATTTCTTGGGCAGCTTTAAGCTCAGGCCAACTGTGAAATTTTCCAGCTCCTACAATCACCCTTGCTTTTCTTGTAGCACCCAATTAAATAAACGTCAGAGAGACTCGAGGGTTAAAGATAGAACAACTAAGAGTCTTTCAGAGAGGCAGGCTCACCTCTGGCTGCGGGCCATGACATTAGGATCGTTGGTAAAAAGAATGTGCTTCATAACTTATTATTTTTTAAACCACTATTGTGCCAGACCAAAAAACTGAATATCCTACTTATCTTTGTTCACTTGGCAAATGGGACAAATGGGATGCCTTTGCTAAAATCACCTCTGAAGTGATATATGATTTTTCATAAGACCATAATCAATCAAGATTAACATGTTATACCCAATGCTTTCCATGTACTGTAGCAAGTATCCCCAAAATGCTGGTCAAATGAAAGAATTTAAAAACTGAAAACACTTGAGAATCATTAATCTATGAAGGACAGCAGTTAGTAGAACTCTGTGGGAAACCATAGTTTCTTTCAAGGGTTACAATCACGTGCAAAGATTTGGTTTCACAATGCCAGTGGTACATGTGTAAGAAAAATGTGCTCAACAGCTGAACACATACTTTACAGTCCTGGCAAGGAACACAAATGTGCCTACTAAAACCTATAGTAGAATGCTCTAATCAAATACAACTTCTGGCTGATCCAGTACCCAAATTGGAAATTTTAGAATATTCGCTGTATAATCAATGAAGGTATGAATGGTAAAATTAGAAGTTTTTGTTTGCTATGGACCAGGGTAAACCCTTGTCCTTCCTTGTTTTCCTGTGACCCTGGAGATTAAACCCAAGGCTTTGGACTAGGTATGCACTCTGTCACGGAGCTACCTCCCATGCTTTGCTTTTCTTTTTCTTTCTTTTTCTTTTTATTTTTTCGCTATGTAGTTCAGGCTGGCCAGGAACTCACTAGGTGGCTATGGCTGGCCTTGAACTCATGGTGATCCTCCTGCCTCAACCTCCCAAGTCTGGGATTACAGGCATGCACCACCACGCCTGGCTGTCCTGTGCTAGTCAGACTGACGTTGAACCTGTGATCCTCTTGCCTCAGTCTCTGGAAAAGCTGGGATTATAGACACGCACCATCGCGCCTGGCTTAAAGTTTATTACTTTGTTATGGTACTGCATGTGTAATATCTCATTAAATTCTAAGATTTCCACATATCATTGTAAAACAAAGTCAAGGGCCTCAGGGATTGTGGGCTCCTTTGGGAATGAGAGTGCTTTTGCAATAAACAGGTTATTACTGCACATCCTGATTTAATAATCTTTGATCAGGTACTACTTAAAAAAAATCTTTGTAACCTCGGTGCGACCTTTGTGTCATCCTTGGCTGGCTCAGTAAATACATGTTAAAATGACCTAAAGCAGAAGCATGTATTAGTTAGATGTCTACAGAACCACATTACTTAACTGGTTTCTCCATTTGAGAAGTTCTTACGCACTTCTAAAATACAGAATACAGTCTACACATTTATATTATCATTTGATATAGACTGTAACATAACAGAAAGAAGTGTGTCTAATTTCAAAGAAGACCTCTTTTATTATTTATATGGAAATGGGCAAGGTTTTTAGATACAAGAAAATCTCAGCATTTCCCCTCCAGAAGAGACCAATGGCATACACACGATGAAATCATAAATCAGAAGTGTTCAGTATGTGAAGATGAGAAGAGAGTAAATTCCAAGACTATGAACTTTATGTTCTGTTTCTTGCAAATCTTTCTGGGCCAGGAGCTATCTTTTCCTATGTCAACCACCAGCCCAGACCCACTCCTCTTCAATGGATTAGGAAGAGACACAACTCACCAGTTCAGCTTTGGTTCACTCATGGATATACAGGAGCTCATTTTCCTAGATTTCTGCTTCACTCTAGCACACGTGCTAGAGTTACCTGGCAGCAAAGGCTTCAAGATAGGCAGGATCGCTCCAGCATCTATTCAACTGAAGAAAACCAAAAGATCACAATCAAAAGCAAGGGACTGGCTTGGCTAGGTGCTGCTAACTTGGGTGAGAAAGAATCTCTGCTCAATATCAACCGAATGTGACACCTAGAATGGAATAGTGCCCACCGATGAACGTTCGTTCCCAAGGTTCTCTGTAGCTGAGAATGATGATGTAGGATGAACCCGTTTCCATTATTTAACTCTGGCCAGAAGCGTCATTCTTAGGACAGTCACTGCGGAGTAACTGTTTCTTTGGGAACACAGAATCATGTTCTCATTGCTTTCATACTAGGTACTGGACTCGATGGCAAGGAGGTGTATGTCCCTTACTACCAAAATAAATCTTGTTTCCCAGTCATAGTGTTATGGGACAGATTCTGCACACCATGCATGGCAAAAGTTCTCGGAATAGCAAGAACTCAGACCTTTCTAAAAGAACTAACGTACGGCTGAGACTCACATCCAGGCAACTAAAGTGACAATTCACAGGACTGCCTGGAGGTATCATCAGGACTGATGATCAGGCGTGATTTTTGCAAGCGGGTTGACAACGTGGCTTGTGAGACAGTAACAGATTCGGGAATCCTGGCCCCTCCCAGGCCCGACCTGCTTCCACAGAGACCCCCGTGAGGGGATGGGGAGTGGGGATCTGATTAGGGAAGGGAACAGTGGTGGTAAAGGAGACCCGGCAGGGGAAGGGGACTGCGCAGCCACCACCGGAGGTAGCAGCGCAGGCCGCAGAGCCGCCATGTTCCCTCAGCCCCCACCATGAGCCGCCTGCTCGCCCACCCGCACGCACGCAGGGGCTCGCCCACCCGCACGCACGCAGGGCCGCGCCCTCCCGCCGCTTCTCAGCAGTCCTTCCGCCCACCTCGCGCTCGGCGGCGGCGCCTGGCCGGCCGCAGACCCCACACCACACACGCTCCGCCCCAATCCTCACCCGCGAGCGGGCCGGAAAGCCGTATTTAAAGGACGTGGCCGCGCTGACCCGGCCCTGCGTGATGACGTCATCGGGACGCAGGGGCGGGGCGTGCGTGCGCTGGGAGTCTGGTTGAGCCCCGCTCGCGCTGTAGGTGCTCCCGCCGGCCTGGCGAGGCCTGGTTTTCTCTGTACTCCAGGAAGGCCAGGCCTCGGGGTGTCCGTCCTGCTAGCCAGGATTGTGGTATATGGGAAGGAGGCGAGGCATGTGATTGGAAAGACACACACAGACTTAGTTGTGACTCTAGGAAGTTAATTTTCCTAATCCCGTTTCCTCACCATAAAGTGGAAATGACGGAGTACGCGCTCCCGGGCCCAGCACAGAACTTGGCTCCCAATGGGCCTGTACCCTGCTCCCTGTCCCATTTTGTATGTCACTTCCTCTAGGGTCGCTAGTGGTTCCTGTGGGACTAAGTGGTATTTCCAGAGGTCTCACTTCCACAATCGGGATTAACTCAAGGCCTCCACAGTGATCTTTTAAATTTTTATTTTGAGACCGGGTCTTGCCAAGTTGCTAAATTGCCTGGGTTGGACTAGAACTTGGAATCTTCCACCTCAGGCTCTCAGAGTGCAGAGATTACAGGCATGTAAGCTTTTCCAGAGCTTTTGAACCCAAACTAGAAAGCTTTAAACTACTTAAAGAGTATTATGGTTTGGATCTTAACTATCTCCCAAGGCCTATAGACTAAAAGCTGGGTTGCCAATCTGTTAGGAGGTGGTGAATCCTTTAAGGGGTGGGGCTTAGTTGCAATTAGGTCAGGGGGTGTGTGCCCTGGCAGGGGATTTTGGGACCCCAGTCTCTTCCTTTCTGTTCTACCTCTGAGTAGCTGTGCTCTCTCCTGCGCTGGGGCCTGATGTTCTGCTTCTTCAGGGAGCCGAGTGACCACGACTGCAATCTCTGAAACCGTGAGCCAGATGAACCTTTCCTCCTTTACCTTAGGGATTTCCTCACAGCGACAGAAATATAACACAAGAGGTATAGAGAAACACGATGTGAGTTCTAAGAGGAAGAGAAATTTCAGGTGTGGGGGGTGGGGGTAGAAAGAGCTTCGAATGGCTTAGAGATTTGAATTTGTTATCCTAAGCCAGGCAGTCAGGGTGTGGGCTGGTAGTAGAGCTGGAATTTGGCTAAGCAAGGACTACCAGGTTGAAAGTTGATTTCTGATCTTACGCCCTAAAGATCATTATCGTCTTACCAGGAAGCTGATACAGGAGCAGTTTGCATAGCGGATTGGTGACACAGATTGGTGGGTCCTTTCTCACAGGTGGAAGCGAGATCTTAAGTGCCTCATCACAACATGTTTTCCAGCTGTGCGTATCTGGTGGTTGTTGTCAATGAGCATTATTTCCTCAGGTGGTTCTTGTTGCTGATTAGTTGGCCTGCGTGCGGTTCCTGACAGTACAGGAAGGTGAGCTTAGGAGTCAGTAGCTGCCCAGAGAAGAAAAATGAGAGTCAGGTGAAGTTAAGTAGGGCCCCGGCATGCTGAGGGAGAGCGATCTGGACTTAATGGTTGGCTTTTATCAAGTAACTGCATTGAGCATGTGCACTGTGGGTATGTGGGCTGGTGGGAACAGGCATTTCGGACAGACACCAGCTCGAGGAATTGTGCTAACCGAGTGCATGTGCAAAGTCTAGTTTGTGTGTGATGAGGAAACTGTGTTCTGAATTTTAGAATGTTTAATGGTATTGCAGCAGTGTTATTGTAAAAAGAAAAATGCTGTAAGTGGTAATGGAGAACCTTTTAGAGCTTTCAGTGATAACAGTCAGCTGTGGTACATGTGCTGTAGGTTCGACACCACTGCTATAAGGGCTCTTGGTAATCTATTTTAACTGAATTGCAAGGTCTTTGAAGGGTAATAGAAACAGGTTAAAAAGTTGATTGGAGCCAAACACAGAAGACTTTATAAACCAGATGAAGGAAGTTTGGCTTTATAAGAAATAGAATGGGGGGCTTATAATCTGAGGGATGACACAGTCAGGGCTAACTTGCTCCAGGAGTTTATCTGGCCACATGTTGAATGAATGGTGTGTGTGGGCGGGCAGGTAGGAGATGGTCCTCGCCAGGTGACAAGCTTGACACTGTGCAGTTATTTTTTTTATTAGGTTGGTGATATTTATGGCTGTACTAGAACGGACAGTGTAAAACTAAATATGCTGGGTGCTATAGTCTGTTACCCATAGTCTGGATTCAGTTACCCACAGTCAGTGATGGTCTGAAAATATTAAATGGAATAGTCTAGAAATAAACATTTTAATAATTCATAACTCTTAAATAACTTATTACAATATGTGGTTATGATTTTATTTTTAGGTTATTTTTAATCTCTTACTCTGCATAATGTATAAGTTAAACCTTATCTAGGTAGGTATTATAGGAAAACAACACAGTAATAGAGGGCTTGGTACTGTCTGTTTCTGGTAGCCACTGAGGTACTGAACATATCTCTGGGAATGAGGGGACTCATAAAGCGTGCAGTCAAGGAGAATTAGGCAGTCCTGCCCTAGACTGTGCCAGCTGCTGTGATTAAGAATTGTGCTACTGGCAGATATCCGCCCATACCACCCTGGACTGTGGTATAGGAGCATCACAATACATGCCTTGTGTTGGGATTTCAGATTGTCATGCACAGGCACAGTTGTCTAGTTCTAGTGGTTGCAAAATAGCACACAGAGTCACAATTTTTCGAACTAGAAATCACTTTGGAGATTATCTAGTCTGACCCCCTTGTTTTGCTGGTAAGGAGACAGACTTAACTTCCCAAGTGACTTTTCCAACATCATATGATCACAAATACTAGAAATCAGGTCTCATACGTTTGCCATTTGTTTCGGACTGAACGCTTGCCCTCACCCCTGCCGCATCCCGAATTAAAGCTATAACACCCTAAGGTGATGGCTTTGTCCGGTGGGATTTAGGGAACTAATTAGATGTAGATTAAGATGTGTGGATGGAACCTTGTGATGAGGTTAGTGCCCTTCTAGGAAGAGGAAGAGGGACCAGAGGTCACTTTCTCTACCTTGTGAGGACGTAGCCAGAAGGTGGCCATCTGCTGGCCAGGAGCTGAATTGATCGAGAGCTGAATTGATCGAGAGCTGAATTGATCAGCAGCTGAATCTTGACTTTCCAGCCTCCCGAGCTATGAGAAAATGCATAAATGTGTTGTTTAACACGTTCCCGCTGGCTAGAACCGCTGGGGTCGCATGCATGACCGTCCCATCAGGCAGCTGTGCCACTGGTACAGACGGAGCTAATCACTTTTATCAGTGTTGCTTGAATTTGAATAATTACTGTGCAGATATAAATATTAATCAGCGCTACTCATACCGATTAAAAATTCTTACACATCAAATTTATTTCATTAAATTGAAAAAATTTGGATTGAATTTCTTTAAAACATTTTATATGTAACAGCAGCTGATTTGTGCAGAGTGCACAACCCAGGTTAACTCATTTGACCTCTTTTGTGGCCTCCACTGCACCCAGTTTTCCCGATAATTTTATAACATTCTCTTTATTACTTGCATGTGTTTCTTGCCCACCCTAAATAAGCTTCCACAAAGTGATTTTTTGGAGTAATTTATGCCCACGGGATGTCTTCACAGGTTAATAGTTTATCAATAATGAATTCTCAACTTTACCATGGAACTCTTGTGAGTACTCCATTGTTAGTGTATATAATATGCATGTACAGCTGCTGTACTGCAAATTAGGTGGATTGCAATTTTTTATACCATTTCAGTGTTTACCTTAAGGAACTGTAATAGGATGGCATCTGGTGTGCTAAGTCAGAGCCTTTCTTTGAAATCAAAGACAAGATGAGGTTTTGTGTTTCCAGGTTTTCCTTCCTTCAAGGTACATATATGATTTTTACAAGTGGTTAATATGCAAACGATTCTTTTATCAGTCTGCTTAACAAATTTTACACCAGAAGGATTTTCAGAGTTTGTGATTTTGCCATGTATTTGCTTTGTCTTTGTACAGGTAAAAATTTTTGATTTGGCTGTACTGTGCTGCAAAATACATTTTTTTGTAAAAGTTCTTGTTCTGGGGTATATTTAAATAATGACTATGGGGCCGGGGATTAAGCTTAGTGGTTCTGACCCCTGCCTCGAAAGTGGAAGGTCCTGAGTTTGATCCCTGGTACAAAAAAAAAAAAAAAAAAAGGGGCTACATATCTGCACGTAACTGCAGTGTTCAAATAAGTGTGGTTCATTAATTTCAAAACAGCATCATAAGGATGCCCATGCATTGAAGGGTTTTCACTTTTTCTGGCATAGACATGTAAAATCATAGGTTTAATCATGAGGCAAACATAATGTAGATAATTTTCTCATCTGTTTGTGATGTTTTCCTTTGATATACTGCTGAAAATGCAGACATCCTCACCATAAAATCATACCTTTTATCACTGCATTTTTCCATTTTACTGCATTCTTGAATATACTAATAATTTCTTTCATGAGTTTTTTTTTTCTAGTTTTTTTTTTGTTATTTTGAGACAGTTTCACTGTGTAGTCCAGGCTAGTCTTAAGCTCACTATGTACCCCAGGCTGGCCCTGAACTTGTAGCAGTCCTCCTGGCTCAGCCTCCAAAGTGCTGAGATTACAGGCGTGTGCCACCATGTCCAGCATGAGTTTTCTGAATGTATTCAAGAGATCCTTGGTTCTGCATGTGTTATTATCAGAGAAATGTAAACAGTTCTTAATAGCCAAAAAAAACCCGCAAAACAAAAACCATCACATTGCATGGCATTCTTTATGGGATTGGCATACATATTATTTTCCAAATAATAATGGTACTATCATTAATAACATACATATAAATTTTTTTATCTCACTAACTGTAATGGAATTTCCCCATTGCTGATATTTTCTTTTTGTGCTAAAGCCACATTGTATGGCATATCTGTTTTTCAACTATAACTTTGAGTATATTATCAGATATAATGAATAATTTATACAACTCGGGGTTGCTGCAATATATCTTTTTTATTAGTAC